CGGGGCCGCGGAACGCGGCCCCGGGCGCTTCTCCGGGACCGGTCGGGGTTAGTGAGTGAAGTGCAGCCATGTTGAGGGGCTTCCCGGCACCTGCCGCCGTGCCCTGGACAGATATCTCCCCTTGGAAAACCCTGCGTGCCCCCCTTTGATCTTAAGGTCTCTGCGCAACTTTTCTCTCTATAAAGATTACTGCTTTAATACTGCCTCCAAGTTTCGTGTTTGGGGTTTTTGTTTGTTTCTGCTTTATCGATAAAGGGGCAAGCGAAATGCTAAGTTGCCATCTCTGTGCTCGAGCCCAGTGCGTAGCTAGCGTGTCTGGTTGTTTTTTGGGGTTTTTTTCCCATTGTGATTAAACAGGATCAACCTGTTGGAAAGGACGAGACTTCAGTCTGCAGTGGAAATAGGGATCTTCTGTTTATAACTGCGTAACTTTAAGAGGTTAGTCAAGGCAGAGTTGAGGCAGGCTACTAGTGCAGAGTCCTGAACCTTCGCTGAGGAAAGACAGTATCTTCTCTTCTGAAGGGAAAGACTGAGTCTTACTGCAGCAGATAGAGGAGCCAGGTAAAGGATTTCTCTGGAGCTGAGGTAGGAAGGATTCTAGCAAAACAAAAATTGGAGGTATGGGTTGTGTGATTTCCCCCCCCCCCCCCCGATTTGTCAGTAATCAGTCAAGGCACATCTATATCTGTTGGTATGTCTGGCTGCTGCTTGCCTTAACGTGGTTTGTTTCATTCTTGGTAATGTTTTAATCATGTTTTATCAATTCCTGTTGCTTGGAGAAGGGGAAAGAAAAAAAGTGAAGGCACAAGTGCCTTTCCTGGTCCAGCAAGAAAAAGAAAACCACCGTGGTGATGGTTTTGCACACTGGCCTTATTTCTAGGCAAGCTTTTTTGCAGGAACTCCTGTAAGGAAAATGATCATTGATAATGCTAATTGAAAATGGACTTATGTTCAAGTCTGCCTCAAATATCCCTGTTAATGGTCTTGTAATTATGTTCACTTAAGTCTCCTCTTACAAAGATCCCATTAGAAGCAAGGTCTGATGCTTGCCCAGGGCATTCAAATGTCTGACTTCTAGGAATAAGGATAAAGGTTAGTCAACTTTCTCTTCTCTCTTGGTCACAGGAAGCTTTGGCTTTCCTTGTTAAAACTAATGGAAAGGCTATTTTGTCATGGGTAGGAGTGGCTGATGATCGTTTCCTTTGATGTTGTCAGGGTACAGCATCTTGTAGAAATATGTGGGCTTTCACTTGCTGGTGGGATAGGTGTCAGCATATCAACTACCTTTTCTGACTTGTCAGTAAAACTGGTTATGGTTTTTCTCTGGGCTTGTCCTCCTCCTTTCCTCATCTCCCTGCTATGACTGCTCAGGCTTAACAAAGGCTGCACCACGGCCACATGCATGTTCAGATGTTCAGTGTCGTGCTATGGTGTCTGAGGTTCTTTCCCACTCCGTGGTAGTGCTTTGGGGAGACTGTAAGACTAGTGTGGGTAGGGGATGGTGTTTCCCCAGTACACTGTGTTAGGGAATATATTGGAGACTCACCCCTGGTCTCTGGCAGCTTGTGTGAAAGGAGCAATGTTGCTGTGAGGCTGTGTGTGTGGATGTCCACTTTGCAGCAGCTAGCTGGCCATGTAGAATAGGTTTCGAGTACCTCTCCTTCCACCAGCTTTCTGACTCCTCTGAGGGTTTTTGTCAGGCTTCCTAGGCTTCTCACCCTCTTCCTAATCTGATTGAAATAGGCCAACAGATTCGATAGCTGTTTTGTGGGGGAGGGAATGGATGATGGTAGGGGAATCAGTGGTATTAGCCTTGTTTCTTAAAGCAGACTAAAACCTGCATGTGTCTTTGGCACCTGTTTCTGTGCTTCTTGTTTTCCCCCCCTCCCTTCCTCTCCTGTTGACTTGTCTTAGTGCAGCAAGCTCTTGCTTATAGTGAGTGCCTTTATGGTAGCAATAAGAGTCTGTACCTAGTGATGTCCCCATGAAACTATAAAAGTTGATGCTTAAGAATGTTACTTTTACTGAATCAGTACTAGGCAGTGGAACTAAGGATTTTTATCTCTGTAAACAAGAAGTCTTGGGAATGGATGCTGTATTAAGTAGAGCCCTTTTCTCTAGGAACTGTCTCAGTCTTAACATGGTTTTGCTTCTTCTAACTTTGAACACTTTCTGCTAAAGAAGTGTATTAAAGGAGACCAAAACCTTTGCTTCTAAAAGTGCAGTGAGAAATGGCCTGTTAGTACTTTCAGTAACAGCAACAGTGCTACAGTGGATTGCTATCAACAAACATTCCTACTTTAGCTCTGTATTCAGAGGAGGAGAAAGAGGTTGCTCCTTTTGCCTGTCAGAGGGATATATAAGAATGGCAAGACTGCATGAGACCAAAGGTCTGTCTAGCTTTGTCATCTCCCAGTGGATGTGTAGGGAAGAATGCAGGTGCAGAGCAGATGAAGGTAAGGATTTGCAGCGTGTTCTTCATACCTCTAGCAGACTGGCTTGGACTTCTGAACTGGAGATTGTCTCTAGATTATTTTCCTTTTAATTGCCTCTCGGACTCTGCCCAGCCCCCCAAACATATGTAAGGTTTTTAACAAGCAGTCATCTGTAGGTGACTAGACCCTTTTCAAATAAGTACTATGTAGATTGCTTAGACAGTTGTGGTCATGCTATGTAATAAGTAACAGCCATTAAAGTCTAGAGCCCCAAATTCCCCCTTTCCTACAGGTTTGAAAAGTACAAGTTTGTAGTCTCCACCCAGTTGCTGAGAGGGAAGGAGGGGTTGAACTACCTCCATTGCTGTTGAGTTCCTCCCACATATGTTCCTATATGTTGGAGGAACAGGTTTCGCCAGATCCTATAAGATGATGCAGTATGGCTTCTAAGTAATGTGCTATTTTGGTGTTGAGACAGGAGCTTGTTTTGATCCTAGAGGCCTTGGAACATAAAGTTGGTTAGTTTGTAATTGGTAAATCACAGAAGGTCCCTAGAAGTTGGAATATAAAAAAAACCCCAAAAACAACAAACCAAACCAAAAACATCTTGTGGGGTCTCGTTTGATTAGAGTGATGTTGACAAAGCGAGAAAGAGCTTATCTGAAATAAGGATCTGCTGCCTCTCCACTTGAGAGAGTTGCATGATGCTTGATACTGCTGCTTTGGCCAGTTCTGGTTTCCAAGGAAGAATGGAAGGGTAACTGAGTGAAAGAGAGGACTTTTAAACAGCTTTCTTCAGCTATGTTTCATGTCTAGCTACTAAGCTAAAGAGAATTGATGAATGGCAGTGGGATTTTCAGCTTCACTGCCCATTTCTGGGATAAGAAATAAGAGATGGATGGATAGCCAATTCTGAAACTAGAGCTGGGCTTCATTCTAGATGCTGTGTCGTAAACTCTTGGCTGAAGAACAGCGTGTTAAAGCACTGCTTCCTGCTACTGTGTTAGTATGAATTGAAGTGGGAGATGAAGGTACACTTTTGAGTGTTAAGGGAACAGAATAGGTCTGGTTCATGTGCAGGTATAAAAGTATCTTTGTAACATTCTTGTACTTACTTCTGTTTTAGAGTAACTTGTTTTTCTTTCTAGCCACCAAAGTTCTTGGCACAGTCAAGTGGTTCAATGTCAGAAATGGATATGGCTTTATCAACAGGTATGTTTAAATTGTGATAGTCTAATTTATACTGTACTAAGACTCATGGTACAGATAATATGCCATGTGTTAGTAATTGCAACAGAGACCTGAGGACCTGACTACAAGTTCATGCAGTCAACAGCCAGATTTGGCCAGGTGTTCAACTAACGAACTCTGATATCATCTCAGGGGACTCCCCGCCCCCCCCCGCAAAGGTTGTGTGTATGGGGAGAAAACAGAAAGGGTCAAACTCATTACAGATTTGGTCTGTTACTTGTTTCTTCTGTTTACTTTTACTACACCTTTAATGACCTGTATGTTCTTTCATGACTGCCTGGCTTTTTTTAAGGTGCAAGTAAGGTTGGAAGATGAGGGGAAATATTCTTGGATAAAAATTCAAGTGTTAAGTGATTGGTCAAAATAATTATTCTAAATACACACTGAGATTCTCTGATATAATCTAACTGAAGATATTCTGGGCCTGGCTTTACAGGAATTCTCTTTGTATCTTTTTTTATTCTCTTCTGAACATAACCAAACTTCTGAATGGCATTGTTAATCCACATACCTGTAAGTGATATTGATCACATCCAACCTTAGGTACACAGGACCCATGCTTCCAAGTTACTGGAGGAAACTCTGGCTTTTAAGGCTGGAGTATGTGTGAGGTTGAGGAGCTTAAATGTCTTGTGTGCTTTATGAAAAACCTTTAACGGTTCTGAAGCCAGTTCTAGTACAGCATTAATCCCAGTCTCTGGCGACTACTATCCAGTGTTGTGTAAGCTTAGAAGAAAAGCTTGAATTAGGAAGTACTCTTAAAGTCTTTCATAGCAGTCGATGTGAGAGCCTTCAGCTGGATGTGGTGTAATAACTTGTTAGCTTTCTTCCTAAACTGAAGTCTACTATTACTTCGGTCCAGTGCAACAAGTTTTGGATTACGTGTTATCTCCACAAACTCTTTGACTCACCTGTGCCCTCTGCAGAGAAGGAATTGAGTGAACAGACGTCAAGGTCTAGGCTCTTTCTGTTGTATGGGAACACAGAATCAAGATCTCAGACCTGTCTTCATGTTTTGCATGCGGAAGCCTGAACTGGCTGGCCTAATCCAGACAACCTCATGTTCATGTCTGGGTTCCCCTCCAATGGACTCTCCTAACACCTCTTGTGCATGGTTGCTTTGAGTTTCACTGAAAGGAGAGCTCTGTTAACAGCTGTGGCCAGTCCTTTTGATAGTCTTGCTTGACCTCTGGGACAACAGCTCAGGTTGCAGCCCCTGTGGAAGTCTTTTTTGGGGGGGTAGAATAGTGAAAGGCAAACAGTCCAGTCATTAACTCTGCCTCATGTCAAAACAAAATATTGAATGTTTGCCAGAATATTACAGAGAACCTCCCCCTGTCCCCTCACCCTTCTGAAGGGTGGGGAGTCCTTTCTGCTGTCAAGCATATGACCCTGGAAATTCAGAGCAGGGTCTTGGTAGCATAGACTTACACAGAATGTATGGAATCCAGGGGATGTACTACAGGCTGGGGGAAGGAGCGTTTCGCTTGTGAAGTCAGGGATTTCTATTTAAGTCTCTTAGTCTAAACTCTTACGACTTCTCACTTTCTTTTCGCAGAAATGATACCAAAGAAGATGTGTTTGTTCATCAGGTAAGACAGCAGTAATTGTACTTAGAGATGTGCACTGTGATACGTTTCTAATGCAACTTTCTGAAACAGCCACCCAACCTTGTCCTGGCTTCTCCTTAGGATATTTACAGCAAATACCTTGAGTGGACATGTATGTTGAAATTTTCAGGGAGGAATATTAGGGTGTGTTTTCCTTCTCTCTGGAGTTATAACTGAAGGAGTAGGTATTACAGCCCCTTATGCTTTCTTTTGCCTGCTCCGATTTGAACACTAAAGGTTTTTTGGCATGTTTTTTGTTTTGTTTGGTTGTCCCTCCCTGGGGAGATGACTCCTGTTCTGTAAATACCTTGCTACTTGTTGTCAGTCCTGCCCTCCCCCCCTGCTTTTCCCCATGCTCCTTGTGTCTTCTGTTTCTTCCTACCCTCTTCGTTTGCAGGTCTGTTCTGACTGCCCTCCCTGGTATTGGAGAGAAAGTGATCTAGTCTGGCTCTTGACCAGCCTGGGTTGCCATCAGCTGTTGCTGCGTGAGGCAGCTGCTCTTAGGAAAAAGAGGAGGAAGGCTGTGTGCCAAGTGTGCCCAAGCAGAGAGAGGTTGCCCAGCAGCTTGTCATTGGTTAACTTTCCTTGAACTGTCAGTAGGCTGTTCTAAGTTTATACCTTGACTCTCAGGTGGCAGGCAACTAATGGGAAGACAGAGGATGCTGTCTCCATGCTGATGCAAACTGATTAGTTGGCTTAGGTCTGGTTTTGCATCATCTGAGACTTTTACTCCACCAGAAAATGAAGTACTGCCCCTGGAGCTTGTCCCATATGAAATATCTGCAGCCCCATGTGATCCTTGAGCTTTCTCTGTGGTGTAAGTGGCAGTATTTCCACCAAATGTAACCAGGAAACTTGCACTCAGAGTTTGTCACAGAGGACGAGGGTTATGTGCATATGTAGTTGTATTAAATGTGCTGGTCAACATCGAGAGTTCCTGTGGCTTCATGACTAAATAGCCTGTGATAACTGTTTCTCTGGGTCGAGGAGTGTAGACCCATTATCTGAAAATGGATGAAGCTGGGAGGGAGTAAGTCTCGTGCCTGTAATGAGTGCTTATGATGTTGGGAGGTACATGCAGTACACATTCCTGGTTCAGTTGGTGGATTTGGGAGCAAGAGTCCTCAATGCATGTACCGATTTCTAGTGGTCACTCTCCTTCCTTAATGACTGTGTGCTCTGTGCATGCCAATACAGGTGCTGCATCTGCAGCCCGATGGGAGTATGTCCAGAGGAGGGTGAGAAGAATTCTAGTAACAGAAACATGTTCTGGTTAGGCAGCACTGTAAAACTACCTTGAAGGCAAATGAGGTCTCCTTGAGACCTGTGAGAAGATATCCTGGAAAATGGTGGTTGTGCTGATGACAGAGGTAACACGGATCAGTGTTACTCTGCTTGGGAAGGCTGCCTGCAGAGACCCAAACACTGAAGGTCAACAGCAAGGTAGTATTATCTGTGCTGTTTTGTTTCCTACACCTGTGGAGAAGATTATTCACCTAAATGGAAGCTCCAGTGTGTGTGTGTGTGAACTTATTTCCCATCTCCTGTGGCCAAAATCCTCTTGGAGTGAGCACTGAGCAAAACTGGCATGCTGTTTCAGAAATACCACATCACGTGCAAGCCTGCATCCAGTTAACCCTCTTGGTGGGCTGTGCGTGGCAGAGTAGATGCTTCCAGCTCTGGCCTGTGTTGGCTGCAATCAGATGTTCCTCAGCTCTTCCATCTCGAGCTGTTCCTGTACATGAATGTGCTTGTTACCAGAGCCTGGGGCTTTCTGGCCAGAGCTCCTGATGGGGCCACCCGGCGAGGGAGGCAAATCCATGGTGTAAGCAAACATCCTGCTGCAAGCTCCAGCTCCCTCTCCACAGTTAGTGCTGGTTCTGCCCCTCCTCCCTGCGCCTGTCCCGGGAGGGGCTGGATTACATGCCTAATCCCTTCAGAATAAGGCTGACCTAGTTGAATAGATACAGCCTCCTCCCTGCCTCCCCCGCACACATCCGCAGTGGGGAGGGAACAGGCCGATCTCATGATTGGAATGGGGGTTAACGCTGAGTGTCTGGCTATTGGATGCTATTTATAAACCTAGTACAGATTAAAATGCTTTTCTCTTTAGGGCATGCATGGCTTGCTTTGAATTAACCCTTTGTCTTGCGGGGGGCCCAAGCAGTGTTTTGGGGAAGGGCAGTTCTTCACCTGCTTCGTCTTGCTTGCATCCTTGTCCGGTTGATTGATGCAAGGTGCTGTCTGGGGCACTGTGTTGGTTAGAGGTGGTGCGAGCAATAGGGATTGATCTGCCTTGTGGGGTGGAGTGTGTCTGGGGGGGGACGAGGGTCTTGCAATTTGACACCATTTAAAAAGTGTCAGTCACCAGAGAAGTCCAGCTTAATTAGGCGTAGTTTGAACAAACAAGCAGCATCTCTTCTGCTGCCCAGGTCTTTCTTTTTCTTTACTTCACTGGATTGTGTTCACCTTGCACAGCCTGGTGTGTGTGCACTAGTAACTGGTGTAACAGATTTTGGCTATTGCTGTGACAATGCTGGATGTGCACATGATGTGGTGCTTGTGAGGATATGGAAAGAACTCTTCCAAAAAAATACTGAACTATCTGTGAAGACTCTTATAGTTCTCTGTTCATCAGTGTCCCCTTGGGAAAGGAAAGGCTTTGTCTTAATTGTTGAGTGCTGTCTGTGTTAACACAGAACATCTGTCTTTTGAATCAAAGAAGCTGGAGCCTGCGGGATGCTGGTGAACAGTAATAGGGAGAGTAGTGCTCTTTCCCCTCTGGATATACAGAGTAAAAGTCTTTTCATCAAGCTTAGAGCCTAGGCTTGTTAGAGGCTTATTTCATCAATGTTTACCTGCAGCTGAAGTAGTAAGTAGTAAAGCTGTATAGTTTCTGCTCTGAATTCTAGGACTTAACTTGAAATTGTTCCTGGTTGCCTTTATAAAACAAACCCCAGCCTTCTGTGTGGCAGCCTCTATTTCCTGTTGGCAGGTTGTTCAGTTTCAAGTCTGAATTTTTGAAGTTTCTGTCTATAAAGCTGGAACAGAACGTGTGGAATCCTGTTGCATTTATCTTCCATTACCCTTCTTAGAGGATGCTTGAGGAGATTTGTTAATCTTAAGCACACCCTCTGCTGAAAAGAAACCCAGTAGTCCTTTCTTCCTCTGCACTTACAAGAAGGGGGAAGGAGTTTGAAATACAGCTTGTTGACATCTCAATCATATGCAGAGTACAAGTCTTATGAGTTTGAGTCAGTTGTCTCAGTGCAAGTGGTAGCAAAAGATTTAAACAATCTGCAGTGAAGATAGTGATTTTAGTATTAGTATATAGCATTTATGGAAAAGCTAGCACTTCCAGCTGATTTTAGAAATGGGGCAGTTACACCAGCAGGTCAGCAGAAAGTGAACAAAGCTGTCTCAGCTGATGGTGGGAGTCTCTGCTTGCCAAAGTAATTCCCAAAAGAATTCACTTGAGCAGCTCATTCTCTTCCTGTATCAAAAAAAAAAAAAACAAAAACAAAAAACAAACCAAAACAGCCCTCTTGGGTTGTTTTTGCTTTGGTAGCAATAATAGGTACACTCTTGCATTCTTCCTTAAGCTGTTTGGGATGCTGCAGGGTACAGGGAAAGGTGTGGCTAGATGTACGGCTAAAAGGACATGCTGGCCTATTGCCTGAAACACAAAGGGGGCTGTATTCAGCAACAGTGAGAATACTTTTCCTAAACTGGTCAAGCTCCACTTTAAACTCATTAGAACTTTTCCTTCAGTGGGAAATATTTTGGGGCTATTGTTGACTGAAAGAATATAGTTGCCATGCACAGGCAACAACTCAACTGATCTTTGTTCTGCTTGTTTGTCATATCTGTCTGCAGTTCAAGAAAACTGTCTCTTCTGTTTCTGCCCTGCACCCCATTTCTTAAGCCAGATATGTGCCTTCTATTTCCCCGTGTGCTTCTATCTACTGGATCTGCACCTGCCCCCATGCTTACAAAAGATGCCCTTATCGGGAAACTTCAAGTGAATTGGTCTTTAATAATCTAAGAGAACTTCAGTAAAAGGCTGGCTACTAGATTGGCTTGTGCAATGTGTGTGTTTTGGTGGTGTTTGGGTTTTTTCTCCCCCAGCCTCTTCCAGTTTGTGAACCCTTACCTAATGAACAGATAGTAGGCTTGTCTTGCTGACTGCCTTTTGTGGAATCCTAGAAATACTCCACAGAGTGAAAGGTATCTGTAGTTGACAGGTTGAAAATCGCTTCAGGAGGTTTGAGTGTTGCTGTGAGTCTGAGGAGGTTTTCAACTGGTTTTGAGCCAAAGCCATGTTGTTAATAGTATTTTGGTGTTTCTGTCTAGGAGATGGCTAAGACTGCAATTGTCTGGTCTGGTACTGTTCCTGTGTTCTTTAGGGACTCGCCTAATTTTTGAGGGTCTCCCTTACAGTGCTTAGGTAAAATGCTTATTTGTTACGCCAGGGATACAGTAATTCTTCTTGAGTTACTATGAGTTGCCATGATACCTTATAGTTAATGCCATTTTCTACAAAAATGTTCCTGGTCTTAAGTTCTCTGGAGATGGTCTACAGGTCTCCTAATGGCTGTGAAGGCATGGGTCACGCTTGCTGCTGGAGCTGCCTTGGTACAACTTGCAGGAGATCAAACACCCAGTGTGAACTCTGTTCATACAGAAATATGTAATGATCTGGATATTTAGTAGGCTTGCCAGAGGGGATTCTGGGGCAACAGCTGATTCGTAAAATCATAAGTACTGAGAAAGGAGTAAACCTTGACTGAGTATTAGAGGGCCTGTGGAGTAAGAGAGACATCTATGTATTTGAAATATCTTAGTGTGGCAACTGATCTTGTGTGTAGAGTTGGGATTGTAGCAGAAGAATGCTGTCCTTTCCTCATCTACAGGACTATGAATGTGTAAGATAATGAGTAAGATAAAATACATTTTTCTGTATCTTCTTTCTTTAAAGACAGCGATAAAGAAAAACAACCCACGGAAGTATCTGCGCAGTGTTGGTGATGGAGAGACTGTAGAATTTGATGTGGTCGAGGGAGAGAAGGTGAGAGATTATGGAGACTTAGGGGTGTGGTCCAACAGAGTTAATATCACTCTAATGGGGAATAACACACAACCTTAGCTGTGTATCTGGTGTTTTTGTCTAATGTGTTAATCCTTGGGGTGGTGGCATTCATACAGCTTTTCTGTGGAAGATCTGTTTAAAGGCTTCATTAAGAAGTATTTCTAGATATGTATTGAAACTCTAACTACATTCTAGTCCTTCTAGAATCTGTAACTTGATAGAGCATTTGAAGCTTGCAGCCTGCCCAGTGATCATAACTGAGGCATATGTTGCCCTGAAGAATTTGTCTTGGAGTCTGGTAGCTTAATAACTGTAAGAACCTTCAAGTTCTTTGTGCTTGTACTTTCTCAAACATTTTCTGAGTTTTCTGAGCTTTTTTGATTTTTTTTTTTTTTTCCCTCCCTCCCTGTTAATCAGTTACTTCTTGCTTCTTCCTCTGAACTCAGCCTGGCTGATAGGGTCTTAACTCAACCCCATAACCAAGAGTTATGATCATGAGAATAACAAACCTGCTTTTGCACTATGTGGGAGGAAGGAATCTGCAGCTTGGAAATGATGCAAAAATGCCTCTTTCCTGTTTCATCATCTCCCTGTAGCTGGTTGTTCTTTCCTCACACCACCCTGGTTTACTTTCTTTTGGCCTTTTAGGGTGCAGAAGCAGCTAATGTCACTGGTCCAGATGGAGTCCCTGTAGAAGGCAGCCGCTATGCTGCAGACCGGCGCCGCTATCGACGTGGCTATTTTGGCCGACGCCGTGGACCACCTCGAAGTGTAAGTTTAATTTCTTTAGTGGTGGTCATCCTGCCTCCTCAGCAGTCTTCCAGTCCCCTCATGAGAGGGAACTACAGCTTCAGCACTGGCATATAGTAAACTGTCAATGCTTAACTAAGGTGTGAGTGTTCTTCCGTAATAATCTGGGTTCCTCCGGCACATCATTGATGCTATACTGATATTTTCTGTATTGGGTGTCTTGTAGGCCCTCCTTTGGCATGTCTTTCTTTCTAGAATGCGTTAAAAGCATCTCTTTGGGTGTTAAGGTATCTGTTTGTTTGAAGAGTAAACACAAAGGAGTGAGACGCCCAAGTGGTTCACCATGCCCTGTACCTGAAGCCAGGGGAAGTATTTATATTGCTCCAAGTAGTATAACTGTAACTTGAAAGGGTTATTTGGAAAATGGGCTTTGTTTAGAAGTTCATCTCTTTTGCATGGCATGGTAGTAGTTTGACCAACTAGTTGAAACCTCCATGTATCATCCCTTTGTAGGCCTTTGCCTACAGCAGTTCAGTGTAAAGTTAATGCTTTTTTTTTTTGTTAAACTAGCTATGCACAGCTGTTCATAACATCTGCAAGCTTTCCTAAGCAGCTTCCCTGCAAGTTTTTGCAGAGGGAGAAGTAAGTATGAGGTACTTGGCTGTAGTTCTAGCAGTTACTATGCCTGTCCATGTTGTGCTTGTGCTAAATTGGTGCCTAGAACAATCCAACAAGCTGACACATACTCTAGGCTTGATTATCTTTTCTTTAATAGTTGAATCTGTGATCATCACTTGCAGAAATGTGTGAATGATCCAATATGAGAGCCCTGATGGAAGTCTCTGCCCAAGCAATGTAACTCTTTTCTCATCTTGTTCTACAGAGTTGACAGCACAGGGGCAAACAGAACAAGTGTTATCAAATCCTTCCTTAAAGCCTAGCTGTTTATACTAGCTATCACGAGGTCTCTTTAATCCTGCTAGACACCACTGAGCCTTAAATACATGAAAGGTGTTCTTTCAGAGTCCCTTGGAGAAAGCTAGAATTTGGTGCTGATAACTGATGGCTTATTACTGAGTATGTCTTTGTTTTTGTAGTGATACAGTCTGCAAGCTTCAGCTTTCACGCCAAGTGGCAAAGAACTAGGATGCTTGGTTTTGTTCAGCTTTTTGATGTTTCTAGTCTTACCTGTTAGCTCATGAGCCAGCTATGTTCCAGTATGTCTTCTGTTTCCTTTAGCTCTCCTGAGATTAAAATCTCCATCAACTGTCTTTATTGGGAGTCAGTGCTATAGTTGGTGGTATTGGTGTTGTCTTGGAGTTGCTTCAGTTTTTAAATGAGCAGATGTATCAAGGCTTAGACAACCCTGTGTACTGGTGAGTATGGAAAGCAGCTATTTGTTTCTTTCTGAAGAGTGATAATGTGAGACCCAGCTTGGACATGGGGAGCATTCAGTCTCAGGGTACTCATGCTGGGACATGTTGTCTTGGATGTCTAATGCAGACTCATGCAGCTAAAAATCTGGCTTGCATGTGACACTAACACACTTGGATCCTGGTACTTGAAGATGTACACAAGGGGAACAAATTGTGGTATCACACTGTTTTTCTTTGGCTTGTTTCTGTCTGAGTCCCCAGACTCATTTGGTGTGGATACCAGACCTTAGCTGTTGTGGAACATCAGGCACCAGTCACACGAAGTCATCTCTCGTTTCATAACCTAAAATGTACTGCTCTTTCTCTGGGACCATTGACTGTAGAAGAATTACAGCCTTCAAAACTTGCAAATGATAGTGTACAAAAGGACATTAACCTGGGTGTTCATTCTTTCCTTGTTTCCCTTTGTTTATGAGGTTTGTTGGTCCTTCTCTTTAGCTTATTGAGTATCCTCTGAATGTCAGGCCTTCCTATCAATGCATTGACTGCCCCTCTGGATTTGGTATCATCTCAACTTTAAGAGTAAATTCTGTTTCATTCAGGGATGATGAAGACTTTATAGTACCATTCCCTTAGCATGCCACTCTAGCAGGTAACAAGGTAAACTCTGATTGCTGTGACCTTTCAAAGATGATACTGGCCAGGCAGTGATGTTGGCCAGCTCCTTCAGCACTCTTGAACATATCCTGTGTAGTCACTTGTTTAAGTGATAATTCCTTTTCATGTTTGAGCTCAGTCAGGAGTTCCTTATGCAGCCAAAGTTGATGTTCTGCTATGCCTGCTCAACTTTCTACATGTTGCAGTGGACCCTTCTTGTGCTCTGAGCTGGTTTGAGGTGCAGCCAGTTCTGCTGGGCCTTCTTATCCGTTCACTTATTAGTTGCCTGAACAAGTCAAAGCTCCACTTCAAGGAAGTCTTTGCAGGGACTTATCCCTGAAGTTGGCCTAGGGTAGGTCAGTGAAGCCACTCAAACTTCTCCACATACTCTTGTCATCCCTTGTGTACTTGCTTTCATAGATCAATTGAGAGTAGTGTGGATCCTCATCTGAAGCTATCGGTATTTCCTTTTAGAGGTTTTTCACTTGCATCAATTAACACATTCTTCACATTGAAACCACATGTCTGGAAAGATGTTTCTTTCTAATATGCTTTTCCTTTAACAAGGCCTCCTGTTTCCCCTTCCATTCCCATGTGTGTAAAGGGGGAAGAAAGGTAGCAATGTCTGTGAGCCATAGCAATATGTATACACTATTCTGTATGGTCCCATTAACAGGTGCATTAAAGGTTGTGCCTCTCTACTTGAGGAGGTGTTTTTGGCTAACTGTCCTGCAGGATATTTCTGAGACAAGTTTGAATTACCGATGGTATGGTGCTCTTGGGCTGTGTTTGCTGAAAGGATATTTACTCAGCTGCAGGTAACTGTTACTGCACACCTGAAGGAAAAGGCTTAGGTGTACCCAGGCCTGCTATGCTTAAAGATCTACTAGGCTGCAGAGGTGAAAGGTTTTCCCAGACCTCAGCTGCCCACATCATCAATCCCATATTTACTGAAAAAAAAAAAGTTTAATTTGTTGAGGTGACTTTTGACATAGTGGCCTTCTAGGTTTCAAGAACTTTTAACTGATGTCTGTTAGCAACTCCAGTCTAACCTTGCAGCGCAGCAAGAGTTGATTTACCCTTGCCTACTGGCATGGTTTTAGGCAAACTAAAGATGCCTGTCCTCTGTCTGCCATGCTAACTCAAATGTGCCTGTACTCTGCGTGTAACTTACTGGGTCTGTTTTTGAACACATTGTGTGAATTTCTCGAGAGTGCAGAGAACCTTGAGGAATGAGAGGTATTTAACCAGCTCTAGTGGTACTGTGTCTGGATTGTGTGGAGAGTTCTGCGGAGAGTAGAAGTACTTGTTCATATCAGAAATTTCTTAATTGTATCTACTACAGAAAAGAGGCTGTGCTCCTCACTAAACAGTCACAACATAGATATGGCATGGAGCTGGTGTCAAAATGTTAGAACAGTGAATTGTGGAATAATCTTGAGAACCAATGATGTCCGCATCTACATATTGTTTGCATTACTAATACAAGAAGCCTCTATACCAATGAGTTGGAAAATAAGTGAAATAGTTTGAGAGCTGTTTTGTAGGCTGAAACTATTTGTTGTAGAGAGGAGACCTGGAAAGATAAATACTATTATACAAAAGCTAGAGACTGATCTGAAGAGGTGTAAGAACAAACAAAGAAGAAACTAGGGGAAGCAGATGGGTAAAAACCTCATTGCAGTTACAGTTAATGCTTACAAAACTTTTCTTTGAGGGACAGCAATAAAATTTTGTGCCTTCTAGGGTTAGAGAAATCTGTGTGAGATCTTCACGGGGAATCACAGCCTGCCTGGCTATTTCGGCCGCCTTCTGAGGAAAGTATAGAGTGCAGCAGGCCAGCTTCATTCATTCATTCATCCTTTAAGATGACCTAATGTTTTGTTAGAAGGTATTACACTGAGTTGGAAGATACCTGTGGAGGAGATTGAATGAACAGGATCGTGTGTGTGCTAGACATGGTGTGGTGCTTTTAAGAGTACAAACAAAGCTTTCCTAACAAAGGAATGTAATCTTCCTATCAGTATAGTAAAACAGGACCTCAAAGCTCAGGTTCTGTTTTCTGGTCAAATTGCATCTGTTTCAGTGACTTCTGACAGCATAATTGCTTTATTCTGGAGCCATACTTCACTTCTGGCCAATAGACCTAGGTCAACTAATGGTGATACTAATGTAATGTGTTAATTGAATTTTTGTGATACTATAGAAGATGTAGGAAATTATCAAGACTTCTGGGCTAAGCAGTTCAGTTGCTTTGCTACTCTTGTTTTCAACTGATTGTTTAAGCCAAACCCATTTAAAATACTGACATAGCAACATTCAGTTCAAGATGAATAGGAAAATGTTTGTGTTGCTTTTGATTAATGCTTCATAAGGTGTAGTTGTTCTTTCCGTCACTACAGGACACGGAGTCTTTTATCTGAGATTCCAGTGCAGGCCTCTGTAGGGAGGAGTGGACTTGGGCTGTGCCATTAAAAACATGTAGAAATTTAATACTGCCTTTTAAAGAGCTGTGGATGTGATGCTGATTGTCAAATGTGAGAGGAGAGCTTTGGCTGATGAAAAATATTGTTGTGTGCCCCACCCTACAGTTAGGTTGGTTGATGCTTTGTTAGCTTCTGGCACATTGTTCCTCAGACAAGACCTGCTAGGCCTTCATGTTCCATCATTGCAGCCCTAGAACTGAGCACTGATTCCACGTGTGCTTGCTCAGAAATCCTAGGGAAGAGAAATAGTGATTATGCTGGAACATGTTCAGGGATTGTTTGTTTTGCATCCTCTCTGCCCTTCACATCTTGCTGCTCTCTTCTCTTTCTGTGCTTTGCCAGTCCTCATGAGAGGAAGAGAGTGAAAGCAGGAGCAGCTTTAGGCCCTTCCTTCACAAAGGGCAAATCCCAAGACCTCTGAATTGCTAATGCCACACACAATACTGGCAATGCTATTTCTTGCCTTACTGTCTCAAGACACTTCTGACCACCCATCACAGGTCTAATAAACTGTATGGTTATGTAGGACAAAGCATTGTGGTACAAACAGATTGGTGTTTCAAAGTAGATACAAGTAGTATAATGCTGTTGTAAACTCAGAAGTGTAATTTTCCTTTTGGGTTCTGAGTGTTTCAAGTACTTCTCAACTGCTATCAGATGCTACCTACTATTACCATCTACTTAAGTCAGTGGGAGTTCCTTTTGATATTTAGTTATCCTGATCAGTTTTATACATGAGAGAACATAACGGATAATGTTATCTATGATTGTGGGTTTTTAACTGATTTCTGGTTTCTCTCCACTCACCTCGGCAGTTGACCCTGTCGTTTTGTTAAGAATAGCTGGTATAGGTACAGCATGTGAAATATTCCAGTTGCCTTTAGGCCATGTCTCTGTGCTTTTTGGAAATGTGGAGAGCTACAAAGAGTGCTTGAAATTTATTAATGCGTTTGGAGGGTATTTTACTGTGGTGAGAAGAGAAGATTGTCCAGATTGGTCACTGAGGTTCATTTAATTCCCCAAGATTTCTTGTTACAACCTACAACACTCCAGCCTTTCTAAATGCTTATCATCATGTTATCTTGGCTAAGGAAAAGTTCACTGCCCATGCGGTTGCCCGAGATTTGCCAGTTAAAATAGAGCAAAGCATGATGGTGGTGGTTAAAATAACTGTGTGGAATTCGAAGGAGACCTGTCAAATGCAGTGTAGACTACTGAAGGCTGTCAGGAAGCAATAGTTTTTGTTTCCTGCTGAATCAGACCCAGAAGATCTGGAAACAGAAGCCCATCTCTTGTTAAATTCCCTCTTTTTAAAGGGAATAATGGTGTAGTGGGAATGGCTAATAATGTAACTTTATGAAATAGACATTACTGATGGCTGATATTTAAAAAACAAAACAAAAAAACCCAAACTGACATACAGCTTTAACAGTTAACAACTAAAGGGGAAAGAACCACTGCATCTCTGAAAGGCTGAAAATGTTGACTGTGTAGAAGAGTATTTGACATGATGTAGTACAGTTTTTCTATTTTTAAAATTTTATATTTTTGTGGGAATTCTCTGTGGAATGGGGCTCTGTGTAGAATGAAGCCAGAAGTGGTCTCTGGCAAGTTTCAGTGTGATGTCTTTCAGTTAGCTTTCCAAATTCAGAAGTGTCCTGGTCAATGGCTGCCTCTCCATAACACATTTACCTCTTGCAATGCAGTGTCATGTCTTGAAATGCACTTGCATATGCATCGGAGAGAACTGTCAGGTTCTCTGCTTTTCTTAGCAGACAGGGAGGAGGCATCATCAGGTAGCTGCTTAGTCTGTTACTGTGAGGAACAAGGGCAGCCTTATTGGCTCCTGGTCTGTCCTACTCTTAACTTTGCTCAAATTAAAGTCTTTTGAGTATCTGATGCTTCTTTTTACCTGATATGTTGGTGTTTCTGTACTGATACACTGTTTTTGAACTTAGGTTCAGATCATTGGGCTTTATAGTTAATATACTGCCCATGAAATAACTTTAACTCTGTCTTCTGTTTTCTTTTGGTTGTAGGGTGGTGAGGGAGAAATCAAGGATGGGGTCACAGAAGGAGGACAACTTCATCAACAAGTCAATAGGAATCCTACGTATCGTCCCCGCTATCGCAGGTTTGTACTATTTCCTTTGCTCATCATTACATTTGGATGCTTTTGTGATCTATACAGGCTTCGTTAAGAGCAGGAAGCTGTATTCCCTGTCATTAATGTGTATGCAAATGGTAGGGACAGTGAGAAGCATTTTAATTACTAGGAGAAAGGTGAGCCATAGGAGTAAGGAAGGAAACAACTGTAGAATTTGTTTAATGTGTATATGTTGCTCAGAGTCAGGAATAGGTCAAGAAAGTGTGAAGAATTCTTTGTATCCTTTACTTTTCATAGTTGAGCAACATACTGACATGAGTTGCAGGGTCCACATCTTCCCAGCTGAACTCTAATGCTTTCCTGGACAAGTAATGAATCCAAATCCCACTTGATCTGGGACAGCCAGGCCCACCATCTGCAAGGGCAGGGTGTGCTTTATAGCTCTTCTTGTGGACTGCAGACAATAGCTTGCAGTTCAGCACTGGACTAGTAGCTTGTGTGCATCCAGCTCAGTCCTATGTGTCATGCAGGCTTGGTTTTATGCACTGGTGCTACTTGTAGGTACAGAGGAAAGCCCACTGTTAAGTAAAAACTGACGTTGTGTCCTCTTACAGGCCATTAGATTATAGGTAGCATTATAGTTACCTTGCAGTATCTTGTGCTAGTGGAGGGTATTGCTGTCGGTCAAGATTTAAATTTTAGGTTCCTTGAGGGCTCCTAAAGGAGAAGGTAACAAAATAGGATTATTAGAGTTACTCTTGCTAGAACTTTTGGAGAAAGGGGGTGCTAAAGAGACTGGAGAGCTTCCAGAATAATAAGATAAAACTCATCAAAATGATTGAAGGGGAAAAAATGTGTGAAGAGTGGAAGTGACTGAGGACTCTGAGGCTGGGAGAAGAGACAAATGAAGATTGATTATAGAGGTCTGCAGAATAATTAGTAACATGGAAAGGATGGATGAAATTGCTTTTGCTTTTTCTTCTGATAAAAGAATACACTGAGGAGCCTTTGAATGAAGGAAGTGGGAGACATGCTGAAGAACAAAGGGAGGTTCATAAAAACCATAGGACAGCCCAGGTTGGAAGGGACCTAAAAAATACCAACACCATCTGGCCTAAACTTTTGTGGGAAGGGGAGCCTAGATGAGATGATCTAGCACCCTGTCCAATCGCATCTTGAAGACCTTCAGTGATGGGGACTCGACTACATTCCTGGGGAGGTTGTTCCAAGTAAATGTTTGTTCTCACTGTAAATCTTTCTTATATTAAGACAAAACCTGTCCTGGTGCAACTTGTACCTGTTGCCCCTTGTCTTCTCAGTGTGGCTCCTTGTGAAGAGAAAGCCTCTGTTGTCTTTGTAGCTGCCCTTTAAGTACTGGAATAATGTAATGAGTTCCCCCATGAGCCTTCTCTTCTTCAGGGAGCAAAGACCTAACTCCCTCAGTCTTTCCTCATAGGTCAGTTGTCTGCAGCCCTTTGATCATCTTGGCCCTCCTTTGGACCGTATCCAGTCTGTCTGGCTCCTTTTTGAATTGTGGGGACCAGCACTGGACACGGTACTCAGGTGTGGCCTGATAAGTGCTGAGTAGAGTGGGATGGTCACATCTCTCTCTGTTACTAATGCCTCTGTGGACGCAGCCCAGGATCCATTTTGCCTTTGTTGCTGCAGTGGTGCACTGCTGACTCATGTTCAGGTTGCTGACTGGGGTTGTTATGCGTACAGCAGATTGCTGGAGCTTTTTGACACGGGATGTTGGCCATGTTAAAAGCTTGCATGAGCTTGGGGCAGACTGGTCAAATAACTAGAAGAGAACACCATTGTGATATCTCTAAACAGGCAAACTCTCTGGCTTGGGAAATCCCCAGTGTGTAAACCAATTGGAGGTTGGGAGGCTATTTCGGAAGTAGGTTTCCTTGTCCTTATTTTTCCCTAGGGATCCATAGAATTGGGATAAACAGACACTTGAAGACTCAGTAGGCTATTCTTAGGTTCTTATTAAAGATCCCTTGGAGTTCACATGAACACTGATGCTTTCCAGGGGGCTATGCAGAGTAAGTTGTTGAGTCATCTGTGTTAGTCATACTTTAAACTGGCCAGTGTAGGATTGTTTTCTTCATTTTTCCAGCCATAGTTCTGACATGACCACTCCAGCTTCCACCCTTCCACTGAGGAAACAATTCCATAGCCAAGGAATTTGGTGCAGTTAAAAATATCAGTGTGAAATAGTCAGCCTCTGACTGTCATACCTTTTGAAATGTTGCCTTACTTTTTTCACTGAATTTCTTTAAGTGGAAAAGCTCATTCAGATTCTTGGCTTCTTGTGACTTGTTTTATCTTGGAGAATGAGTGACAAGTTAAATAAAACACTGGATTACTTTCACTGGTGTTCTTCATAAAGTGTTGTGACACGGTCCCCTACAATATCCTTCTCTAAATTGGAGCGATACGGATTTGATGGGTGGACTGTTCAGTGGATAAGGAATTGGTTGGATAGTCACATCCAGAGGGTAGTGGTTAATGGCTCAATGTCCACGTGGAGATCAGTGATGAATGGTGTCCCTAACAATTCTGTACTGGGACCAGTACTGTTTAATATCTTCATCAATGACATAGACAGTGGGATCGAGTGCACCCGCAGCAAGTCTGCAGATGACACAAAGCTGAGCAGTGTGGTTGACATGTCTGAGGGATGGGATGCCATCCAGAGGGACCTGGGGAGGTGGGCCTGTGTGAACTTCATGAGGATCAACAAGGCCAAGTGCAAGGTCCTGCACCTGGGTCAGGCCAATCACCAGTACCAGTGCAGGGTGGGGGATGAATTGATTGAGAGTAGCTCTGTGGAGAAGGACTTGGGGGTACTGGTGGATGAAAAGCTGGACATGAGCCAGCAATGTGTGCTTGCAGCCCAGGAGGTCAACCATATCCTGGGCTGCATCAAAAGAAATATGACCAGCAGGTCAAGGGAGGGGATTCTGCCCCTGTGAGCACAGGGCAACCTGTTCCAGTGTTTCACCACCCTCACTGTAAAACATTTCTTCCTTGCATCTAGTCTGAATCTGCCCTCTTTTAGTTTAAAACCATTAACCCTTGTCCTATTGCTACAGGCCCTACTAAAAAGTTTGTCCCCATCTTTCTTATAAGCCCCCTTTAAGTACTGAAAGGCTGCTATAAGGTCCCCCTGGAGCCTTCTGTTCTCCAGGCTGAACAACCCCAACTCTCTCAGCCTTTCCTCATAGGAGAGGGTGTTCCAGCCCTCTGATCATTTTTGTGGCCCTCCTCTGGACCCCCTCCAACAGGTCTGTGCTGAGGACCCTACAGCTGGGTGCAGTGCTCCAGGGAGGTCTCAGCAGAGAGACTTTCAGTACTTAAAGGGGGCTTATAAGAAATATGGGGACAAACTTTTTAGTAGGGCCTGTAGCAATAGGACAAGGGTTAATGGTTTTAAACTAAAAGAGGGCAGATTCAGACTAGATATAAGGAAGAAATGTTTTACAGTGAGGGTGGTGAAACACTGGAACAGCTTGCCCAGAGAGGTGGTAGATGCCCCATCCCTGGAAACATTTAAGGCCAGGCTGGATGGGGCTTTGAGCAACCTGGTCTAGTTGAAGATGTCCCTGCTCATTGCAGGGGGGTTGGACTAGATGACCTTTAAAGGTCCTTTCCAACCCAAACCATTCTATAATTCTGCTCTCAAGGAGCTGATTTGTATTAGTCTGCCATTCACTCACTTGGTCCTCTTCATCTTGTCTTTGTCATCCTATCAACTAGCTTCAGAGGTCAAGTTCCATGTAATCCCCATTTTTTCATATGCACATTTGTTCAAAAACCAACAGTAAGAGGTAAATAACAGTACAAGAGCAACAAGAAGCTGAATTTCATAGGAAATACAAGATTGTCCTTAATTGTAATGACTACCTGTTCCACGCAAAATGGATCCATCCTTCTGGATGCTGGGTCTAGAACCTCTACTCTGAGCTTTTCTATCTGTGAACATTTCTGTTAAAGTTGGCTCTCTTATGTGGGATTGTGGGAAATGGGGTAGGCTGCTGCTGCTTGTAGGGATCTGAGCAGAATAGATTTTGTTCCTGAAAGTCTTCATTAGCATTGGGCAGTCAGGAATAGCACCACATCAAGTAGAATGGGGCACCTGAGCTTTTGCATGTGTTGTGGGTAAATCACAAGCTGGATAATTTGTCCATGGCTAACGGGAATTTATGCAGTTCTGATGCATTTTTTTTCCTATAAGAAGTATGATATATGAGTGCAGAATGCTTGTATTTGAGTTAACAGGGAGGTATTACTTGCATTTACATGCACTAAGTCCAGTGACACTAGTGCTTTAAATTCCTTTGGAAAAGCTACATTGGCTTTTGGGACTAGATAGCTGTGGATTAGTCAAGTCAGCTAATGGGAACTGGATAGTAGGCAGTGACTTCGTCATCACTTTCAGCTGTGTTTTGATGGTTTATAAACATACCTTGTTTATACTGGAAATGGGAGGAAATGTTCTTGCATACTTCAGGAACATGGACTTGATAGCTTAGTGTTAACGAGGGCCAACTTGCCTGAGATACACACTATGCTGCTTTTTGTGGTTGAGAGGGGCAGCATAAGGCAAAGAGCAAGGATCCAGGAATGGTTTACAGGTGGAATTGAGATTCCCAGGGATTGCACCATTAATTGTGAATAGGACTGGGCTGGTGTATAGCTATGCCAAGGCTAACTTAGTAGTGGCCACACAGGCTGATTCTGCTGGCTTATTTATTCTCCTAGCCAGCAACTGAAATGGGCTAACTGCATCTTTATTGTAGGATAGACAGTAGAATATGCTGACGTAGCCCAGCAGTGAAGAGACACCCAGGTTGCTTGTCTTTCCCTTCCAACTATATGCCAGCCAAATTCCAGAGGGATGGTTTGCTAGCATTCAAAATTGTTAAAGATGGTATTTGGTTAGAGAGGTTTTTGCTGGACTAAAACTATGGTAGTTTAACCTTCTCGGGCTCCTCTCATATGTAACACCTATTTCTGCCCCTCTTCAGAGGGCCCCCGCGTCCACGCCCTGCCCCCGTGGCTGGAGAGGCTGAAAACAAAGAGAACCATCATGAGGCCAATGCTATGAGTCAGCAGCCACTTCGCCGTGGGTATAGGCGCCCATACAACTACCGGCGTCGACCTCGTCCACCCAATGCTCCAGCTCAGGATGGGAAAGAGGTAAGCATGCCCCTAGCAAAATGTGGCAGAGGCTGAGTTTTGATGGGGTGAATGCTCAAGACCTTCTGTCCTGTGGGAGTTTTGACAAGTGTATTGTTGGTGTGCTGGAGGAGTCTGATGGCTAAGTCCAGAGTGCTCATGCTTGAAGGTAGCTGGTTTCATTGCCAGTTCCTTATGACCTTCTTTGAGAATGAGCAGCTTCTCTTAAATGGAACCAGCAGTGGGATAGGGATTGCTTCTGGATAGTTCTTAATTGGGGTCAGACTGTAACGAATATTTTTGAAGTGGCGAGAAATAGTTGTGTCCATTTCCTGGACTTCTTGAGCCAGATTATTTCAGGGAACTGTTTGCAAACACAGATTTTTACCTTTGAGGAAAGACTTTCTCATCCTATGTCTGCTTGAGGTGGTCCCCTGACAGAATCTGCTGTGTAATACTTAAACTTTAGTGTATTGCCTATAGTTAATATTTTCTGAGGATTCATCTTCCTTGATTACTTTAAAACCTGGGTTATGCTGGCCCTACTACTGAACAGAGGAAGGGTCTAGAGGTCAGTCATTGCCTATAATAAAGGTTTATTGTGTCTCAGACAAAGGTGACTGAAACACCTGCTGAAAATCCTGCTCCAGTGACCGAGCAGAGTGGTGCTGAGTAATGTCCGGCTCCCCAGGCACCTTTACGATCCCTCAGGTAAGGAATATAGATAGTTCCTGTTCTCCAGCTGAAGCAGCATTGTGTATCCTTCTAGGACTTGGACTCTGGCTATGTTCCCTTATGTATGGCTAGATATTTGTGATAACTTCTGAGTGTGCTGTATAGGCAAACCAAGAACAGTCTGCTGCTTTTCTTTCTCTCCTCTGCCTCTGTATCTGTGTTTGTCACAAAGTAAACTTTGCTTTATAATCCTGATCTATCTGGTCTATATAGCAATAGCATCTGCTGATGAGTTAGTAATGTTTTGCTTTAGGGAGATACTGTACTCTAAGCTTACGGACGGGATAAGCCAGCCATGCTTATCCTGTCTGTTATTATGATAACTCCTTCTCCACCTGACATCTCACCTCTTCAACAGGGAAGTGAAACTTAAACTGCAATTTTTTTCAATTTGACTTTTCTGCAGGTGTCCTAAAATACAACTCAAAAGTAACACCAAAGAAACACACAAGCAATAAATTGTCAACAGTGATGACGAAAGTAAAGATTTTTGAAACATCGGAACTTAAAAGAAAAAAAAAAATTTACCAGCAGCTGAGATCCAGGGAACGCCTGCAAGATAGACGCATGAAGAGAGAAAGAGAGCGAGATTCAGAAAGAGCAACCTCCCCAGTTTCAACAGCAACTGTGGGGTTTTTTGTTTTGTTTTTTTTTGTTTTTGTTTTTTTTTTTTAGAATTTCACTGTTTCGCTAGTATTGAATTTTTCAATTTTTCTTTTGGTATCAAACTGAAAAGGGAAAAAAACCCAACCAAAGAACTGAAATTGAAATCAAATGCTTTTTTTTATTGGATGCTGGTGCTAAACCTCCCAGGTGTGATTATTATTTTTTTTTTTTTCTGTGCCAGTCCTGTTCACTGCAGGACACGGGGAGGAGAAACTTCCGCTTTCCTTGGTAAGATCTATTTGAAACTGTGCAGCATGGGTGACGTTCCTCGCAAATAAAAGTGATTTCAACTACCAAAAAAAATCTGGTTTAGTACATTTGTTCATGTTTACTTTTAAAAATAATTCATTATTTTAATCTAGCTGCTTCAGCATTGATATGTGAAAATGAGAGCTGCCTCTTTAGTATGTGTTGATGTATGTTGTCTAAAACTGTGCTGGATGATACATGTGCAGGGACATGGCTAGGTTAGGTGGATCTACTTCAATCCAAAAGAACTTCAAAGAAACTGTACAACAGAGCTATAATCTACACTGTCCTCTCTGCTCTTCTGGCTCAAATGGTGTTAAGGGTTGGGTTTTTCTGTTACCATCTTGTGGCAGGAGTTTGGGGGATTTGGGGTGGGTTACTGGGATATTGTTTTCCCCATCTGTTTTGCTAGGCTTTTGTGTTCTGTAAACAGTAGAACGCAAGCTTTGAGACTCCTCTGCTCAAAAAGACAAAGTGGACTTAGTAACTGCCACTTTACTCAAGTTTCTGTTCCAAACAATGGCAGTATGTTTTATTAGCCTCTCCACTTTTCCTTATTTGAAACCAGTAAAATCTCTGTACCTGTGCTGTTTTGTGTTAATGAGTGAGATACTTAGCTGTGTTACTAATGTGTGTGTTTTTTCTAATGTTCCTCCCAAAAACTTGGATGTCTTGCAAGTGTTATCAGTCTGCTTCCAGCTGTTGAATATGGGTGTGTTTCTTCAGCTATCTTGCATCCTTCATCCTCTAGTCCAACGTTTCTCACGTTCCTGTCTTGCATTTGCTGTTATCCACACCTTAGTGTATTGGTTTCCTTAAAACACCTCTTTCTGTTCTTAGCTATGCAATCTTTACCCAGCCTTTACTGAGTAACACTTCATGTAAAACCCCTTTGTCTGGAGCAACTGTACACATGTAGGACTAAATGGGAGTAGAGAGATTCTTGACAGGTACTTTCTGTCCTTGTCTCATCTAGTTTCCCTTTTCTTGTGCACTATTAATAATTAAAAAATTACATGAGGCTTTCTGGAGACACATTTCCTGAGGAGTAACATGAGAAAGTGAGAAGTAGGGGGAGCGTAGGGAGTAATTGTGTTCCAAAGCACTTTGCTTCCAGCTTCTGGGAAGGTGAGGAATGGTCCTTGTACCCTGTTGCCTTTGGTTGGGGTGGGTAGGGGAAAGTTTAGTGATGCATGAGTTGCACTGCCCACAGCTGACTGCACTGGGAATTTCCTGCTTGCTTTTGCAGTGAATTAGCAACTTTTAATGAGGTGTGAAGTGAAAGCTACAGGCTTGGTTCAAGAAGGAGAATGCTTCTGACTCCCTTGAGTACAAGTTCATGTAGCGTACCCTGCCATTGCAGCACTGGATCACTTATCTAGCAGTCCTGAAAATACATTGGTACAAGGATTGCTGTGAGACTGAGTTTCTGCACCGAATCTGGTAAGCTGTAGACTGGGAAAGATGTCAAGATGGACACAGTGGTATTTTAATGTCTTTCCTTGCAAGATGAAGAACGTGGCTGTTTTGACACACAATAAAATTTAATAAGGTGAGGAAAACGTAAGTAAGATGTTTTAGAAATTCTTAAGCAGGATAATCCCTAGTAGGCTTCAGTTTTGTTCAGGCAGATTTGGGAGAGGTTGGCAGTTTCATTGTAGAATAAACAGACGTAAGGTATTCATAAATACTGAAACATTACTGCAGAATTTGTCATAAAAACTACTTGAACTGCCTTCAGTTGTTCAAAAGTAAGTGGTTTTTTCTTATAGTAAGATTTGACAGGCCAAATGGAGTTCTCTTAATCTCTGCAAAAATGTAGGTCAGATTGAATCGGTTTAACAAAAGTACCTAACTAGCTATTCTTATTTTATGAAAGGAGAAATTGAGGGAGAGAGGCAAGTAGTGTCCTAGGGTCTAGCTCTGTTTCTGTTATTTCAGCCCTACCTTTGCGATAAGAAGAATCTTTGCATAAAACAGAAGCTCGTGACTGACATAACCCCCCTTCACCCCTGAATTCCTGGCTCTGAAAATATAGGCTCAACTCTAGCAAGTGTAAAGTACGTACTGAAATTACATTTTAGATGTCTTGAGCTGGGCATAAATTGTTCCCTTACTGGGCCACTTGTTCTCTTGTTAGCTGAACTTTGGCTGAAGAAATATAAAACTGGTGCTCAATAATGAGGGTCAGTTTTCTTGGCAGCTGTGGTGCTTGTGTACCTGAAAATAAGGCTATAGGTTATCTGCCTCAAGCAGAACTTCAGATCAGTGCTCAGTTTGTGGTCTTTTGGGTTTTTTAAAGACTTAGCTACAAGGATTTTGAATTTACAGAGTAGCTAACATGCTTTTATACCTACTTGGAGCTATTGTTTTTGTGCTATGTTCATTCTCTCATTCCAGTGTTCTTCCCTTTCATGGGCACTTAAAGTGGCTTACACTTGGGGTGGATTACACTTTTATAGTGTAATCATTTTACAGTGTTTTCATAATACTCTGGCTGTCTGACTGTAACCAGGCTTTTTGCTTGTGAAGGCTGCTGTCTACTGTAACTTAGCCACAAAAATATTCCCTGTGGCTTGTGATCTTTTGAGGAGGAAAAAGAAGGGGAGAAGAAAGTTCTGTAGGCCTTTGCGCGCTGTTTTAAACATAATAGTCTTGCAATGACAAGATACTCACTGATTCAGAGAAATACATATCCTGTAAACTTCTGCATTGAACAGTATTATATCCATGTGCAGCCCTTCCCACCTGCTTCCATGGGAGGACTGTATGCAGGTGCAACAAATGCCTTGGAAGTGAAACAGACTTCCTGCTGCAGTTGGAAAAACTTGGGAAATAAAGTCTGTGCTACGTAGAACTGGATTTCACAGTCCTTGGGGCAAGCTATGTGCATACTTATTTCGTGCCAGGGGCACATGCTTGAGACTCCCCCATGGAATACTAGAATGAACTTGGATGTGATCTGGATAGCAAGAGTTGTAATGACCCTAATAACTCTGGAACAGTGGTTTTCAAACTCCTCTACTTCTAGATCCATGGAAACTTCCGATGACTTGGAAAACCATGCAAGTCTGACACTCAGTTATTTGTTGTGGCTTTTAGAAAGTCTGTAGATCCTGAGTTCAAAGCCATGGCCTTGAACATCATTATCCTTTCTGCGGGTTTGGCTTTTTGGAGAACCAGCTAGCCTTCAGCATCACTGTCCTGCAGAAAGAAAGTGTATGCTCTGAGATATTCTGACATACTTGGGGGGAAAAACAGTGGCACGAGCCAAGTGGCCATGGGACCCTTAGTCAAGTGTAACGGAGGTGAGAAAGCTTTGGAGGCCGTGTCAAACAAGTGGCAGCTTGAACTCTTCCATTTTGTGCTGTTGGCAACAGCGGGGCAATGGAGCTGTGATTTGATTTTGAGTGTTAAGAGTTAGACAATGATGCACTGAGCAGAAAATTGATCCCGACGACTTAGTACCACCAGCTGCTGAGATAAATAAGTACTTCTAATATCTTAATGTTTTAAAATGTGATAGGAAAGACCTACGGAAAGTTGTCGCTGAGTTCTGAGCTTCATCATAATCTCCTGAGTATTGTCAAAATGCATCACTCTTCAATGCTTGGCTATCAGTCTGGAGTTTTGATTTGTAAATTGTGACTTTCGTAGGACCACATAGGGTCCTTAGAGTTAGTCACGAATTCTAAGGATGATTGGCCATAAAGTGTGTGTCTGTAGTACAAAAAGAGATCTGCTCTGAAGAAATTCAGTGTGGGTTAAATATGTGAAGATCCACACAGTCTTAGCTCAGATAAGTGGTTAGTGTCAGCCTACAACTCAGCTTTAGCTGCACCTCAAGTTAAAGTCAAACTTCTGCTTGTTTTAACATACGAGGTAACATCAGTTAGGTGGTAAGAGTCCAAATGTGGTTTGAACAGTGTACCTGTAAGAGTCTGGTTTTGATTCCAGAGGCTCAGAAGGTCTGTGTTCTGTGGTTACTGCTCAGTGTGTTGGTCTAGCCAATTATTTTCACTTATGTTACACAATACTCACATTTTTGTCTGTGACTTGGAGAGTGCTGTTAACAGTTTTTAATGGCCTCTAAATTTGTCCTTCTTCCTTTAAAATATTGTGTAGTGTAGTGCTGATGTACATAACAAGCTGCATGTAAAATCCTAGCAATTTCACAACCTCAGGATGGTATCCCAAATGTGGCGTGAGAGCTTAAATAATCGCTAAACTAACCTGCTCTAACTAGCATCTCCACATGCCTTTATTTAGTCTGGCTTTCTATAAATGGGAAGATGCCATGTGTCCTCTTTATTCGCTCTTTGACTTTCTGAGGAGCCATAGAGTGTTTTCTAGTTACCAGCAGAACTCAATCCATGTGTAAAATGACATGTCACCTCAAAACCTTGTAATCTTACTGCCTATGTGTGTATTCCAGTGATCCAAACCCAGAGCACCTATAGAAAACCAGGCAAGTAGAGAATAGTTTATCAGAAACAGAAAAATAAGAAAATGCCATAATAGGGTTTTGTTGTGAAAATGCAAATGCATTTTACAGTGGTGCAGAAGCAGGGAGGAGACAGCGCTATAAAAAAGAAATCAGTATTAACAGAACGTACACAGAAAAGGTGTTGCCACTTTCATGCTAATAGTGCCTAGGTGATACAGTCCTTGCTCTGGAGGAGATGACTGGCTTGGAAGGAATGTTGTTTACCCCCTTTGTTCTCAATAATCTCATTGCTTCTCTAAGAATGCCAGCAAAAAGAACATTAATACTAGTATGTGTAAATAGGGCTGTTAGAGATACAGCAATATCTCCATACGCATTTGAGGAAAAATTGCTGCAAGGATCTGGACTGAAATTTTGAAACAATTCATGCCAACACGTAAAACAGCTAGTACAGGTTCTCCTTCTGAGCCTTTCTGAGAGAACCTGAGTTGGGGCTATAATAATCAAGAACTGCAAGGCACTAGTACTAAATTAAATAAATGTTCCAAACAGAGCTCTAGGCCACGTTCTGACAAGGATCGAGATGTTGAAGTGGATATGTGAGATGTCCACAGCCCCTTCTCAGTTGTTTTACACTAGAGAGAAGGGCACAGTTTCAACTGTCAGAATTTCCTGGGAGGCTGCATATTGGCCTTTTAGCCAAGTCTCACCTGTTTCCTGGTAAGAAACTGTTAATGGAAACTCTAAACAGTGTTGAGAATGCAGGCAGCTCTGAGTGCAGTAGCACCTGAGCTGCTAGACAAAAAGGGGCCGCAGGACACCTTGCACACCTCTGGTCTATAGGAAAGACAGCAGTTTATGTTCAAAAGAGGAATGTGCTTTGAGCTATGCTGTTGCAGACTGTTTGGACCAGAGCATGTATGGCTCTGATGGCTCTTGGATAGTTTGCTCTTAGGCATCCAACTCTCGCCGACATGTTAACTACATAATTAAGATCAGTAAATCTTGTTGTGACAGGGACAGTGAAAGCGTTGCGGTGTTAAACATGAGAGCATCTACTACCCTTAATAGGTTTTTAAGGGTTGAGTCTGTAACCTCTTTGCTTCTTGAATAAAGCTGATATCCAGCTGTGGAAATAAGACTTGGCCTGTCTTCATGCAAAATGAACCACGGTGAACACAGATTCCAGTACCTGTCCAGGTGTCTGCATAACAGGAAAGGGAAAAAAAAAACAACCCAAAAACAAAAAACCAAAAACTGTGACATGCTTATTAAGTGTTACTTAATAGAGGCTAGGGAATGAATAACTAAGGAAACAGAATTCCTTACTGCTGTATTTGGGCATACAGATGGGCAATGCACTGGTGCCAACTTCTCTTGCTTCTGTAGCTGTTTTGCAGAAGCATGCTTTGCTTTAAATACAGTACAGGGACCGCCTGTGAGTAACTGCTGTACAGCCTCAGGTCACACAAGTGGAGCTCACCGAGAGCGAACGTAAAGCTAAACTGTTGCTGACGCTTTTCATTACGGAAATCTTTGGTGATGGATGATTAAGAGATGTCAACCCAGCAATCCGGAGTACTGTTAGTTTTAAGTGCTGTGAGCACTAGATGGGGCTGTTGCTCCACACTTTACTGAAGATTTGTATGCTGTGGAAATCAAGGTCTTTCAATGTGGGCTATCTGGTTTCTGCTGCAAGCCTAAAGCATCTAGCTGGGCTGAAATGTGGTAGATGGTGAGATGGATGAAACAAACCTCACAATCCCCACAAGCAGATTCTCAATGTAAAAAAACAAAGAAAAAAACCAACCTAAAATAAACACAAATTATTTTAGTAGTAAAAGAAAAGTATAATCATCTTGCTGTGTAGTTTTTCAAGGAATATGCACTGTTCCTGCACTGGTGTATATCCCTAACTCTCCTCCAGTTATCATCATGCAGCTGGGAAGAAAAATCTTGGGGAGAAAGGGGCAGATCCAGCCTACTCAGCCAGCCAGACTCCCCAGGCAGAGTCCATGCTGTGCTCCCAGCCACAACCTTCGGTTCTCTCTTCCCAACTTCCATCCCTGCTGCTCGTCACCGTTAGGTGTTCATGGTCACATGCGTGAGAACTGTCCGGAGCAAGAAAAAGGGTGGCAGAGACAGCAGATGCTCACAGGTATCCCCAACACCTCTCCTGTGAAATTGTTCTGTTCCTTCACAGCGGGGTGACCTGGTACCTCAGTGTAAGCACCTGTCCTTGAGACTAAATTGGTGCCTGAAGGTTAGCACAGCCTAGCTGCAGTTTGTCTGCTTTTTGGTGAGGAGAAAATTAAGGTGCTCTTACAGCCCTCTGTTGGTGGTGCTGTAATGCCTTCTGCCTCTGTGGTTATACAGCAGCGCCCCCCATTTTTCCAAAATTCAGAAAGGAAAAGTTGTAAAGTGGGATGAGGACTGAAAAAAAATGTTACCAGATGCCTCCTCTCCTTCCAGCTATGCTTTCTGATCGTAGCCTTTTGCTCTGGAGAAACAGTATTCTGACAGACTCACTTACTGTAGCCTTCCAATCACAGGAAACAGGATTCAACTTTACATAAAAGATACAACTTCACTGAATGCCACATTTAGTTAATTAAAAGATGTATTTTTTAGAAGTGTTGGTTTTGAGCAGTATTCTCTATTCTTAGTGGGACTCCTGGATTCAAAAAAATCTTTTTTTTTTTTTTAACACTGGCCACTTGGTTTAAATGTCTCAATGAAAACTGAGCTTTCTGGAAAATCTGCAGTCAATCTATACTTAGCACTTCATGGCCAAAAGGTCACACAAAATTCAGTACATTCCTACACAAGCTGTTGAAGACAGCGCCTCTTCAAAGAATTCAATTTTTAATACAGAATTGAAGAGTGAAGACAATGTAGTCAAAGGTACCAAATGACAGACAACATGCCATTAAAAATCCTCCAGAGATTAAGCAAAGTCTAAGTTTCCTCATGCTGCTCTGCCATTTTTCCCTACCTTGGCTGGAATGAAGACCTACCCACTGGAAAGTCAAGAGTAGAGTTCAAATAAACATTCTGTCTGTGAATTGGCATCAACTCAAGTCTCAAGAGAATACATAGTCTAAAAATTAGCAAACTTTTGGCAGATCATTTAGATGTGATTTAAATGATTAAATGCCTCTTCAAAGGAGATGGAGATGTTAAAAGAAACTGATTTTAAAGAAGGGGAAGATCCTTCTCAAAACTTGCACCGACTTCCATCTTGGATAAAATACTCATTTATGCATTAACCGCAAGCCACAAGGTGGCGCTCTTAATCCACAGCTTGACTACAAAAGAAAAGGTTTGGGGTTTTTTTCTGCCTTTTTTAATATTGCACAGTAGGAACATAGGGAGAAAAGCATGTTTTATAACATGGTTAATTTGGTTTCTGCAGCACCTCCACAGACTACACCACACACAGTGCAGTCTATAATGGTAAACATTTTTTTCTTAAATGAGACATGCTACCTTCAGAGGGTTTGAGAAGAACAATCTGGGAAAAGTAGTCCCAAGAAATGGTTAAAAAGCCAAGGAAACAAAATGAAACAACTACAGATGAGCTATCTGAATAGTAAAATTCTGTAACTGAACACGTAGCTGGCAATCCCACGTCAAACTAACTCAAGTATCTGCAAATCTAGAATTTCACCTGTTTTTCATTTGGAACAAAAGTAATTCTTCAGTTTTCCTTGAAAGGCATCTGCTGGTGCAATACCACTGCGATGGTCCACTGCACCCCCCCACCCCGCCTCCCCAGTTGTTTAGGTGTCAAAGAATTCCACGTATATTGACAACAAAGTGAATATGATTTTCCAGGAAGGCATGTAAATTGTGTATGCATACACACTACAAGGATTACTGATAAGCATAATAAAAAGAGACACATTGTTACTTTTACCTTCAACAATATAAATATATATATCTGTGTAATCTCATTACAATACTTCCACAGATGTATATACGTAAGTAGTTCTTAGCAAGATGAAAGCCAATCCATTTTCCACGGTGTCTGTGAAACCTCCATGGCTGGAAAACAAAAAGACTGGAGTGATTTTCCAAGGGATGGAGTTCTGCCAGCACGACTGAATTCAATTTATTCCTTTTTTTGCTCTTCACCTTTAGATTCCATTAGCACCTCTTGCCATTTCTTCTCCATCTCTTCTTTGCAACTCAGGAAGGCATCTTCCAAACGCCTCATGGAGTTGGCCAGGTCTGGGTTGGTACGTATAACTACCATGTCATATGCCATCCAGGCTGCCTGCACTACAAACCCAACAGATACTACTAAGCCAGGAATTTTGGCTAAATAAAAGCAATGGCTGATTCAATAAACGAATAAAAGACATGAAGTATTATCAGTTCAGATCTTATGTCAGAGAAAGCTTGCTGTAAAATAAAGTGGAAACTGCCCACAGTAATACTGAAATAAAAGACTGTTCAGTATTACTTCTTTATAAATGTCTCAAAATACTTCAGAATGGAAGTATACTGGTGTAAATTACAAAAGGGAGACAGACACTTTACCTAAAAATTATAACAAAACAGGTAATCAAAAAGAAAGGTTCAACAGACTGTTTTAAAATAAATGAACCAAAGAATCCACTCTCCAGACCAGTTGCAGTCAGGAGGCTTGTGTTAGGCGAGGAATGGTAAGATTAAGGAGGCTGCAGCATAGAGATGAAAGGTTTTAAGAACAACCTAAATAATTAAATTGATTTTGAAATAACAAGTATCTAATAAAGCAGAGCAAATAGTTTTAGCACTTATTTCATACTTTCCCTTTTGTTTTACCATAAATTGACTGTAGTTTTCTCAATGGCACTCATAAATTGTGTTTAATTACAAATAGTTCAATGAACAGTTTCCATCTAGCCTTGTTAGTTGCACAGTTTCTGATAGAATTATTGCAGAACACAGAGAGGAATATGTGGTCCTCTCCATACATACAAGACTAAGATTAAATTTGCAGAGGAGTCTTTATTCTAGCTGAGGAATTAAACACATCATGCACCGACCTGAGAGATACTATGTATCCCACCATTTTTCAGAATTAAATCTCATTTTACATACTATGTTTCAGTAATTGTACATTAAATACCTTAGTATTATTTCTGTTTTCAACCACCACTCAGCATGCATCACCTATTAATTTTCAGTATTTGCACGCTTTCTCCCAATAAAGAACACAAGGGCATTAGTTGATGGTGATAGTTTCCACTTATATTTCTTTCACACAGAATTTTACAGCAATAAATATAAATAGTAAATCTTCAATGTCTTCACTCTAGTAAACAAATCCGTATAATTCTTAATACACCTGTACCTGTTAGTTTTTCCATTTCCTCCAGAAGTTTTTCTAAGTCCCTATTCGGGTCCTCCACCATCTTTACCATGTTATCATAGTTTCCTTCCTGAGGTTCTGATTCGGCCATCTACAAGGAAACCAGGAATTTCACACTTTATTATACTTTGAAGTGAGTTGATTTTCCCAGTTGAGAGAAAGTAACATTGCAATAAATTTTAAAAAAAACAACAAACCCAACAGTGTATATAAATACTCAATTTACATGTGAATTCATTAAAAAATCTGACCTTGAAGTTACTGGTCATCACCTATATGCTGCACAGTATTTTCAACCCATTTTGAAATTAACTTAAGTAGAAAGAATTACACTCAAATATGCTGCGTTTGTGCCAAATAAAGATTTTGGTATTAGTAATAACAAAGATCACCGTCAAACACTTCATTAGAAAATTTTATTTATTGTCCTGTTACAGTTGTCTCCATGCTTCTCTCCCAAATACTCTGCCATAGGTCAATTCCTAATTTTCAAAGGTAGTTGCAAAATCTCCATTAGTATCCAGTATTTCACACTTGCATGCTGCAGCAGGGTAACTACATACACTAAGTTCTGTCACCATCTAAGTGCTTGTGATTTACCAACCTCCACTTAAGTTGTAGGTAGTAAAATCTCCGGAAGTAAAAATGCTTGGGGCAAAAATATAGGTCGGGAGGCTCAACTTATGCGATTAAAAGTTTCAGAACCTTGATATTAACCGAAAATGTGGCACGCAGCCTTGCCTTTAACTTTCTTTTCTGAAAACCACCGGCGGATGGCAGGGAACTACACAGGGGGAGATGGGAGAGCTTCACTGCAGGGACTCCACACGTCCCGCAGCAAGCACGAGTTTTTGTCAGCCTCCTTTTTTCATATATGATTTCTCAAACTCAATTTTCCCGTCTTTTATTGCCGATAAATGCGGGAGGAATGCGACGGTTTACAACGTCTCCACAGCACCTGAAAGCGATGCCGAGCCTCACCGAGACGCTGGCTGCTCACGGGCCTCCCCGCACAACCAGCTCCCTGAGGTAACCGTGCGCCGGCAAACCCTTTCCCCCGGGGACCTCCACAAGCCCAGACCCCTCCTCGTCCCACACGAGGGGCCCGCTGCCACCTCCCTGCCGCCCAGGCGGGACGGCGGGCGGGCCCCGCCGCCGCCTCAGCCTCCCCTTTTCCCGCCTTCGCCAGCGGGGGCGGGGACGGGAGCGGGCGGCAACGGGACACCAAAAAAAACCGCGCCGGTCTGTCCTCTCCGTCCTTTCCTGCACGCTCTGCCCCCGAGCTCACGGGCTCGATTAATTCTGTGTTTCGCGAAAACAAGCGCTTGGGTGAGGAGCTAGGCGGCCGAGGGACGGGCGGGGGGGTTGCCCCCCCCCCCCGCCCCCCGCGCCGGGGCAGGGAGGCAGTCCGCGGCGCCGGGCCCGGACTGGGGCACGGCTCCGTGTCCCGCCACCCCTCTCCTTCCAGCGCACCCGCAGCCGACCCTGGGCCCCCCTCAGCCGGCCTGGCCACCCCCCTGGCCGACCTCCGGGGCAGGCCGGGCCTGCTGGGCAGCGCCTGGTCCCCCGCCTGCCGCCGTGCCGTAGTTGCCCTTCCCTGGAGGCTGGACAACAGGAGGTAACCCCCTCCCCCTGCTTACGGCCCCTCTGGCTGTGTCGTGTCCCCCCCCCCCCCCGGATGTATAGCCCCCTTACGTTAGGGTGGTGCGGGGCCTCCCCTCACGGCCGGCTGCCGGCCATTGGAAGCCGTGGCAAGGCTGGTTGCACCAGATGGCCTGTGCTTTCGGGGATTGTCCTGAAAGTAACCCAAAAGTTACGTCTCGAGCCCAAAGTTTGAAAGTTGGGTGGTGCCTCGGCTTCTTTTCTGTGGGGGATCGTCTTCCCGCCTGCGTGATGGAGAGAGACTTCAGACCAGGGCCTGTAGTGACAGGACAAGGGGCGACAGTATTAAACTAGAAGAGACTAGGTTGAGATTAGATGTCAGGAAGAAATTCTTCGCTGTGAGGGTGGTGAGACACTGGCACAGGTTGCCCAGAGAAGCGGTGGATGCCCCATCCCTGGAGGTGTTCAAGGCCAGGTTGGATGGGGCTTTGAGCAACCCCCATGGCAGAGGGGCTGGAACTAGATGGTCTTTAAAGTCCCTTCCAACCCAAGCTGTGCTGCGATTCTATGGTATTTGCCTTCATAAAAAAAAATACCAGAGGAGGTGTTTGCAGGAGTAGGCAAAGAAGGGTTAGCAATTTTCTGGAGACTGAGCAACAAGACTCAAAAGTTTGTCGAGAGTTTGCTGATACTAGGAATTACCTGGTATATAGCAGGGTGAGAATCAAGTACCTTCTCTGAATTGCTCATGCTCCAAATCGTGTGGCATTCCAGATCAATATCAAAACCTTAAATGGTTTGGGCTGTCTCTTGTTCTCCTTTTTCATCCACACAAACAAAAACTTAGTCCTGTTTGTAAACAGTGGAGTATATTAGTATTCTCATCATGCATGAAACTTACTCATCTCTTGCTATTACCACTCATTTCACTGACAACTGAGTAGCTGGTTTGAAGTTGGCAATCCATCTTCAAAACAAACAAAATGAAGTATTTATTCACCCAAGTTATATGAATGCTGCGGAATTTGTCACAGAGCATTGTGTTGCTGAAATTTTGCAGGGGTTCAAAAGCAGTTGAGCAAAATCCTTCAAGGCTTATAAAAGAAGAAGTTGTATTTGGCTAAGTAAATCCGTGAACCATAGGCTGCTGGCGGCTGGGGAAAGTGTTAAGGGAAGTATCATTTTATGATCTTACAGTCTTTAGTTTCCCTAGGCAGTCTCGCTGCCAGCCGCCTGAGGCATAGTACTAGGCTGATAGACCCTTGGTTTGAGGTGGCACAGTCATTTCTTAAGTAACCCCAGCACCTAAATTCTGTGCCTTTAAGCTATCCCCCAGATGCTGCCCTCCTGCTGTACCTGTGTGTATATGTGGTTAGGAGGCTGATTTTTGGTCTAGTGGTGTTGCTTTTTAATACTGCTTCATTACTTTATGAAAACCTGGGCAGCATATGTCATGTGTTTATGCACGTAATGCCAATAGCCTAGCAGCCACCTTGCTACTGCATAATAATAAGTGTGCTAGAATCCATTTCCAGTGACACTGGCAGACAGGAGCGTGTTTTGTTTCAACATGTCTTTGTTTATTTGTGACTCTTCTCTACTATAATTAGGACACAGCAATGTGTTAAAGGGTGAATTACAGGCATAAATATTATATTATTGAGTGGAATTGTTCTTAAATGCATTTTTATGTAACAGTGTTATAGCTCTTGGTGATAGGTACTTTCTAGTTCTTCTAGGGTCTCTATGGGCATTCTTTCCAGGGCATAGCTGGCTCCTTTTTGTGTGACACCCTGCAATTTATTCCATCCAGAGACTGGCTGTTCAGGTCGCTGTAGCTCTTTTCGCTACCTTCTAGGTTTTGCCAAGAGGAGCTGCTGGGTTCTTACTGGAAAATGGGAACAGTGTAAAAATGTGGTGGCAAAAAGCAGGAACGTAAAAGGAACATTTATATATTTAACAAAAAGAATGTAAGAAACTGAAAGAGAGAAGGTAGAAGTAACAGAGGAATATGCATACATACTGTGCTCAGGATGTTGGTTGCCTGGGACAAAAGCACTTAGGAAGTAGAGCAGAACTGAATGCATATGATACATGCTGCACCTAACTTACAGTCTAACAGTTCATCTCTCAGCCCTGGAGTTCTGGGAGAAGGTGTGGCCAAGCTACCAAGTTACGCTGCGGATATGTATTGATTTTGAGAGCCCAAAGAGCTCCTGCTTAGGGACGTTATTTCTTTGAAGAAGATAAAGGAATTTAGCCCAAATGTATGGTATCTAACTTCTGACATTTGACCAAGACATGTAAATCAGGAGCTAGATTACCCTTTGTACCTGTGACATCAGTGTAGGGAGAGAAGGTTTTAGTCCCTGAATTGCTTTACAGAAGTTCTTATGACCTTGTATTGACTATACAGAGAACCTGTGGCAGCTATGACCTTAACTTAGTTTTTCGGCTGTGTTGAATGAATCCCCGCTTCTGGGCCTGGAAAATCTGCCAAAGAAGCCAAAGGGGAAAACTGTACTGTAGCCTACTTACAGCATCTAACCAACCTTCAGGATCTTTCCTGAGCATCTGGTTTGAGAAGAGAGGGCTGACCAGACCAGTGACTGCATGAAACTGTGCAAATGAAATTTCCATTTGATTTAAGAACAGAGTTGGAAATGATCAGGTCTAATTTGGCAGGGGAGCGGTGGAAAAAGACTATTATTAGATGTGCCTAACCCTGAATAGAGGAAGTGCTGGCAAATTACTGGACCTTCAACTGGCTGAAGAAGCTTGATGCATAATCCTTCAGTCATTTCATTTTTATAAGGAGAAGCTCTTTATTTATTTCTTTTCATGTAATGCTACCCCTCCTAGCGTTTGTTCCTTTGGAAATTTTAAATAACAAAAACTGCAGGGATAAACTGAAAATCACACTAGAACTATCATTTTCAAGAAAAATCTAAATATTAAATAGGCAAATGAATTGTTCTCAAGTCAGAAGACCTGCCATCTTGAGAGCCAAAGCGCATGTGGCAGAACAGAGACTTGGGATAATGATGGGAGTTTTTCTTTCACTTCTAGATCATCTGTTCTGATTCTTACCCCATTAGGGGATGAATGGCTGGCTTGCAGAAACAAAAGAACAGGTACTGAGCTTTTCAGCCTCTGTGGGCTTAGGCTGACCAAAAGATCAGTCACAGTCTATCACCTATAAGCCACAGTTTTAAATCTTACATTAGGATGTGAAAGTAAGTCAGAGACCTTACCTCCTCTAAATTACTGCAGAAAAAGTGAATGCCACAACATTTAAGAAGGGGATCCCATCATCTGAAGCTTGCTTTTTCTGGTCCAGCAGCAGTTACTTGGAGCATGCTTACCTTCTGGAAGCTGAACTGCAAAATTAGCACCCTTGTTAACAGTCTCAGTGCATAGGATAAAGACTGGATGGCTTGTGGTTGAATTGCCACTTAGTCCCAGAAACACATCTTGAGGCCACTGAGC